AAAAAAAAAAAAAAAAAAAAAAAAAAAAAGGAATTCTCTATGTATTAGGTATGCATATACATAGTGTCTTTATAAAATTTTTATTCTTGGCATTTTACAAATCTGGTACTACAATCTAACTCAATTTAAATAAATCATTAGCATTAAATATTGAACCAAAGAATGTATGTTCTCCGTTATTTTTTTTTAGAAGAATTATTCTTACAATAATTTATTTATAAAATCTTTCAAAATATTATTATTATTACTATAATTCATCTTCACCAAGAAAGTACAGAGAAACAGGTCTAGCAATTTTAGTATAGTGGTTAAGTTATCAGACTGCTATGCAAAAGGTCTGGAGTTCAAATTCCACTGTCAATAAATTTGAATAATTATTCAGATCTTTGTATTCAACTTATGATAAACCTTGTTCATTTCTGGGATTATAACTCTATAAATTAAGTTATACCAAGTTACTCAAACATTGAAAGTGTAATATAATATTATATGAAGAAATCTTAATAAGATTTATAGCAGAAGACCTGTATAGTAAAAATCCTAAGTTAATGAAGTAGTACAGCTTTCAATGGTCAAGCTAGTTAAAGCTTGATCTGACAAGAAATACTGTGAGAAAAGCATAGATCAGAATAAGTTGAGTAAGTCTAATTCATAGCAGAGAATCAGCAATACCAACCTGGCTTAGCAGTAGGGAACCTGGTATTTATAAATTTATTTGGCATACCATATAGCATGCCATTTCTAAAATTCATGCCAGAGTGCTACCCTAGTATGCTACTACCTTGTATAATACTATTTTATATAATCAAATACTCTGTATATATATATATATACCTAAGAATATAATTAACTCCAAAAGTCAAATTATTGTTAAAGTTTAGTCCCAAGTTAGACTTAAGACTTTGACTTGTATCTGCATATGTATTTAGTATATTTAGATATAACATAAAAATATATATCATATATACTTTGCTGCTTTGCATGCATTTACATTTTTTTCTAAATATACTAGATATATGTACAGATATAAGTTAAAGTCCAAGTCTGACTTGAAACTAAACTTTAACAAAGACTCAACTTTCAGAATCAAGTCAGGCCTAGAGATAGCAAATAATTTAAAACACAATGTTTTAAATTAATATTATATTGCTTTAAAATGATTTTTTTTATAATTTAAATCATTATTGATAACTAGGTAAATTTATTTCAGATCTTCTCTCCAAAGAAAGAACCTAGGCTTTAATTAATTATTTGCAAGCTAACTATTCAGAAGTCAGCATTATTTTTGCTCAAACTAAAAAATGAGTATAAAGGCTATAAGAAATATTAACCAAAGCTAGTTAGAACATGCGATATGATTTTAAACATCATTTCATTATATCTGATATCATAATATTATTTAAATATCATAGCAGTAATTTTGGTTTTAGTCATTAGCATTATAATTAACAATGTTTTAAAGCATTTTATTAAATCAGACTAAAAAATATAAAAATCATTAAAAACTGATTTTTTTACCATCTCTAGTTAGACCAGACTGAACTTTTCATATAATTAAAAAAGTTATTGTAATTAAATCATATTTTGATAGTATTTATTGTAACAAAACTGTTAAATAATAATACGTAAAATATAACTAAGAACAAATAATATATTTATATATTATTGCAACCTGTAATTTAATAAAAGCATTTGAAATCTATTTTACAAAAATATTGTATGTATGTATATATATAATAAACTAAATAACAGATAAGATAATAATACTAATACTATAATATAATAATAATGTGAATGTTAAAGATTTACATAATGATAAGCATATTAGTTATACAATATTGCTCAATCGATTTTTTTTTTAACTTTTTTTAACTATATGATTATAATATATCATCAACTAACCAATCCTCATTAGTACTAGATCTTTGTAAAAAAATAGATAAACTTTCTTTACTTCGATTTTGGTTTTGTTCAAAAACACTAATATCGAAAAAACTTTCTAATACTGAATTACTATTCATAGAAAAATCTATCTCTTCAAGGCTAACTTGTAAGAATTCTTCATCAAATTCTTCAAAAAAAATATCAATATTAGTATTGTCATTATTTGTAACAGAATCAACAGATAAAACTGAATTTTTTTCTTTAATTTTTTTTTTTGGTATCACTAATAATTTTTGTTGAAGATCATGCTGAAGCATTCTAAGCATTTATATTAAGGTAGAAGATATTTTGTTTCATGATTTTGTTTTTACTAATTCCAAACTAGAGAATAGACATTTGATAGCTGCTGAATAAAAAACAATTGAGAAGATTTTTATAGCAAACCATCAGAGAAGTAGTGATTCTTCAGTAAAATTTTTTCAAAAAATTCTAGGATGAGTATTAATATTTTTGCAAGTATCAAAGGGAGCATCTTTATTTTTATAATTAATAAGTTCTTTTAATAAAAAGGTTACTTCTTTCTTATCAAATCCCTAACTTTTTGCTAGCTCTAATGAAGCCTTAATAATCGAATCTCCAGACATTATTTTTGATATCATAGTTTGTTTATGATTCAGTGATAAAAAGAAAGCAACAAAATAGATATTATCAAAAAACTCACAAGCTCATTTATCTATAGCTGCCAAGGCATGATTTTTAAATCCATCAATTAGAATATTTGCTATAGATATAGTATAATAAATGCCTATTAATTCTTTAAAAATATCTGCTAATGTAGTTTTTCTTGATTCAATATGACTAATAGCATCTATAACAGAAATAAGTACTGATAGCAATGTATCATTATTGGCAAAATAGTAACGATTAGTAACTATTTTTTAAATCTCTGTTCTAATTATAGGATAATTATTAGTTCTGCTAAGTTTAACAAATAAATTAAATGCTCTTTCATAGGTTTTTACTCCTAAACAAACTTTTGCAAGAGAATACCATCTTGTTTTACAAAACATTGTTAATGAATAATATAATCCTTCATTTTTTTGCTAATCACGAAGTGCTCTAAACCAGATATGAGAAGAAGTAAAAAAATTGACAAGTTTTGATTATTCTTTATAACTATAAGTAAAGACTAAAAAGAAGAAATATCTTTTGCAATTAGGTTAAAAGTATGAAGACAGTAGTGAACTAGAATAATATTTGGATGCTCTTCTTGGAAATTTGTTCTCATTTTAACTATAACTATAGGACTATCAGTAACACAAGCAATAACTAAAGAATTGATAAAGACTAAACTTAATTGAAGTATCTTTTTAACTTCATCTTTAAGAAATGCTGTAGTATATTAGTTTGATAATAGGTCAATAATATCTAAAACATATTCCTAATTCTCTTTCAAAGCCATAAAACTATATATAGAATTTCTTGATATATCTTGTCACTTATCTAATATAATAGTAAGATCAGTAATTGATTCTATTATTTCAAGCTTTTTTCTAGATAAACTGAAAATAAATTATTAAGAACTTTAGAGCTTAAGATATCAGTGGAGGGTGGTTTATAATTTGGAGCTAATTCATAAAGAAATTTAATCATATAGAGATTCTCAATAATCTTAAAAAGCAAGTTGCTATAAATAACTACATTAAGTAGTTTTTTATTTATTTTGGCTTGTTGTTCTTGTGACATTAGTTTTATATACCAATTTATTAGATTTTCTTGACACTTTACTTTGGAGAAAAATGAGCTATTAATATATTAAATTATATAAACTGTTAGTTAAGTTAAAATTTATATATATATGATTATTTCTATTAATATACGTAGAATTTTCATTATCAGAAACAGAACTAATTTTAGCTTTCTTTAGAGATTTAGAGATAGAGCTAGTAATTTTTTTAATATAATTGCTTTTTTTAGTAGTGAACTATCTAGTACATATAAGGATATGGCTATGAAGTTTTTTAGAATGATCAGGCATTTCACTATTACAATAGGTACACTTTGCTATATATCTATTGCCTATAATCTTTTCTATAGAGTGCCAAAATCTAATCCAATAATTATTATGAACTTTCATATCAAGAAGTATAAAACCAGAAGGTAATAAAAATTGAACTTTCATATCAGGAAGTATAAATTCAGGAGGAAATGAAGACTACATGATGAAATTTTGTTAATAAGTTTTTTTTTTAAATTATATTTATGTTTAACCTACTAATCAATTATTTGAAAAAGAGTTGTTTTTATATATTTTTACTTTAATTGCTATGGTATATCAAATTACACTTTATCTTTAAATTCACATGCTTTATATTGATAAGCATTATAGAATTTTATTATAATATGTTAGATAAATCAGATTTCACATGAATTTTTAATTTGGCATTAGTTGTCTTTAAATTTTAGGCAAGTTCAAATTTAATAACAAGGTTGTTTTTTTTATTAGTATAAAAAAACTTATTTATAGATTTATGAGTGACAAATATATATATATTATCTGTAATTTAGCTATTCTATGCAATTAACAACTTAAGAATACTAATAATTTTAACCAGAACATTACAAATTCAATTCGTTGAATCATATACCATTACTAAAGTAATAGATTATTAGGATCTTAAAGTATAATAATTTTGAACAGATCTATTTTTTAGTATTTATAGTATGCAATATGATTTAATATTTTTAATAATATATATAAAGTATAATGTATTATGATGTCAATTAATAAAGTAATTATTACTGTTTCTATAGTCAACTTCTCTTTTTACATGAATTTATTTAAAGTATATTCAAATTTGAACAAACATGCAAACCTGAATATTGCAAATTTAATTCATTGAATCATACACCATTACTAAAGTAATAGATTATCAGAATTTTAAAGTGTAGTAATTTGAATGGGTCTATTTTTTTTTTGTATACATAGTATGCAACACAATATAACATTTTTAATAACATACATAAAGTATAATATATTACAATATCAATTAATAAAATAATTATCACTGCTTCTATAGTCAATATCTCTTTTTGCATATGAATTTATTTAAAGCATATTCGAATTTGGACAAAATGTAAAAGATGTACGAATTAAGATTGTAAATTCTAAGACAATTAAAGCATGGTACTACTGTTTTTAATCATGATATGTATGAACACTGACACTACATAGCATAAGAAAAAAATGTATAAAACTTGATAAATATACGTATACTAATGCATTTAATATAATTAATTTAAAGTAGAGAATGTCTAAAGCAGGGCAACTCATATTTCTTAATAATTTTTTTGATTAACTTTAGAGTCATCTTATATTAGAGTTAGGTTAAATTTTAGTTAGTTATATATATGCAAAATTGCATTTTCAACATTTTTACTTAATCTACCTGAGATAGATTTAAACTGCTATTCTTTGTATTTTTTAGGTTTTTCATCTTTGTTTCTTGTTTAGCTTCACTAGTAATTATCAAAATTCTATAATTTGATTGGCTGTGGTTATGTGAATTTGCTCCACTTTAGATGACTCCTTAAAGTGATATGCCACTCTGATTTTCAAGAAGATAATATGCCACTGGCATGCCACTATGGCATGCCAGAGGTGGCATGCCAATTAGTATTATGCCAGGTTCCCTAACTATAGTCCCTCTAGTCCCCAGTTCAGACCGGTCCGAACTAGGCCCCCTGTGGACCACTTAACATCCCTATGATTAGACCTTCGATTTTCCTATAATTTGGCCTAAAAATATCGATTTGTATTGATCTAAATAAATCAATATTTTTCGTAATCGAGCTAACCATCTAATAAGATTAACAAATATCATTTAGTTCGGAGATAATCCGCACCTCCAACAGATGTATTCGAATAAGCATTATTCGTCATGTGAAATTTCAGTCATTGGCTGCTTCACACATAGTAACTACATATTATTAGCTGCTTCATATCCAGCAACTATACGTTATTCGAATAAAATAGTACTTATTTGAATAATTTAGTCATTCGGCGAATATTCGGAGTCGGCCAGGGTGGCCCCCCCCAAAGTGCCAGTGACGTAGTCACTTCCACCAATCAAATAAACACAATATATATTAACAATAAGTAA